AACCCCTTCAGAGGGGAGTGGGCAAACTGTAGTGCATCCAGACGATGGAATACTACTCAGTGCTGGAAAGGGGTGAGCTRTAACGCCACCAAAAGACACACAAGAAACCTCAGTGTGTGTCACCAGGGAAGAAGCCATCCTGAAAAGGGTGTGTGACTGACTCCTGCTCCGTGTGACCTTCTGGGAAAGGCCAGCTGTGGACTCAGGAGAAGGACTGGTGGTGGCCAGGGTTGGGGAAAGGCAGACACGAGCCGGTGGAGCGTGGAGGTTTCYGGAGAAGTCGCGCTGTTGTGTGGGACATTCATGGTGGGTGCCTGTTACGGTGCTCCAGTCCACGCTCTGGACCCAGCACCAAGAGAGCCCATGGAGACTGTGGACCCTGAGTGACAGCCGTGGGCCAAGATGGCTCGTCGGCTGTAGGCGTGGGATGTCAGTAGCGGGGAAGCTGGGGGGAGCCAGGAGTGCACAAGGAATCTCTGCATTTTCTACCTTGCTGTGAACCTAAAACTGCTCTGAAAATAAGAATTTATTGATTTTTTAAAATGTTTTAAGAAAGAAAAGAACGGGAACAGAAGACAAGAATCTTAGGCATATAACTTAATCTCTCTGCGCCTCGTCCATAAAAGAGGACCAACAACCCTCCTTTCATAGGGTCATTGGGAGGAAAAAGCAACAAAATACGCAGGACGAGAGGCAGATGCTCCATTCCTCTTGGCGTCACTGCCCCGTCGCGTGGCCAGGAAAACAAAAACAAAACCAGTGACCAGTGTCCAACCTGGAAGGAAACAGAGTCTAAATAAATAGGATCTGAAACCAGGTGGGAAAGCGGGTGAGATGGCCGCACCTGTAACCCCAGGGGCTGGGAGGCGGAGGCAGGAGGATCACAAGCTCAAAGCCAGCCTCAGCAACTCAGCAAGACCCTCAGCAACTTAGTGAGGCCCTGTCTCAAAACAAAAAATATAAAAGGGACCAGGGATGTGGCTCAATGGTAGAGCACCCTGGGTTCAATGCAGTACTGCAAAAAAATTTTTTTWWAAAAATTTAAGGAAGGGAGGAAGGAATTAGATGGGAGGCCCAAAGGGGCCACTGGGCAAATGTTAGCCCCCACCCCCAGATGTACCGCACTCCTGCTGGGCCGTATCCACAGGAGATGCGCCCCCCACCCACTACCAGCAGGCTGAGGGGGTCCTACAAGTGCTGGGTGGAGCAGAGGCTGGAAGGGCACAGAGCCACTCAGACTCTTCCAGCAGCTTCTGTGGCCTCCCCAGGTCCTGGGGTCAACAGGAAGGCAGAAAGCAGAGTGGACTATGACCGCTGGGAATATTTATCACTCTCCAGACGCAGACACAGAAAGACCAGGGCGGCTCCTCCAGCTCATCTCAGGAGGGAACACTCTGATGCAGACCTCGGCAGATGGCTGAAACCTCTTCTCCCCTCTCAGCGGGCGGCCTGCAAAAGCCTCTGAAGCCACCTCTTCCCGAGGCACCAGGGCAGCAGCACCTCCAGCGGCTGGCCGGGCATCTCCAGCATCCCCTCCACTGGGCAGAGAGCGGCCCAGGCCTCACAGTGGGTCCCCGAGGCCCTCGTCCCACGCAGCTTCATCCTCGTGCAAGAGACAGATGAAAAGCAARTAGAAACAATGTGTAGGACGCTCCAGATGGCAGCAGGTCCTCCAAGAAACCAAAACAGAAAGCACGCCAGGTGCGGAGGCACACCTGTGATCCCAGCAGCTCTGGAGGCTGAGGCAGGAGGATGGAAGGTCAAAGCCAGGCTGGCTCCATGGTTAAGCATCCCTGGGTACCAAAAACATCCCTGGTACCAAAAAAAAAAAAAAAAAAACCCACATCCCAGCAGGTGGGAGAGACTTGAAGGCACTGTGCTCAGTGAAAGAAGCTGGCCCTAAAAGGACAGGCATGAACGTGGTCAGGAGAGGGGGAGGAGATCTCGGGGACACCGAGGGCTCCCTGGGGCTCTTCACAGGGGACACTGTGACCTGCTTGGGGCTTTGCACCAGAGCACCTCATGCCACTTTGTCCCATTGCTGAAGGTGTCAGTGTGACCCTCTGGCTAAGGGGCTGCCCCAGGAGTCACACACCATGGTGGCCTCTTCCTCCTGCAGTGGCTGTGAGCCTGGGAGTGACTCTTTCTCCCAGTGGCTCGAAGGTCCTGGGTGATTCTCGTGGGATCAGCCCTTCTGACCAGGCCTTTCTATTCTCCTCACCCCTTCCCCGTCACTGAGCTCTTCACCCACGCCTCCCTTCAGACAGACAGACAGACAGACACACACACACACGCCTCCCTTAAGACAGACAGACAGACACACACACACAC